ACCACGCTTTCACATAGTTTCACATCACCAGTTTAAATATTTTGAGTTTGACATTTATTATTATAAAATAAGTAATTTAAAAAATCAAAAACCCGACTGCAACAACGACAATGTAAAAGTAATACACTAAAAAGACCGAAACAAAATTGAGAATAGAATAGAAAATAAATTCTACTTCGTTTTAACAGACTATATTATGAACGGAAAGCCTAAGTTATATATTCGCATTAAGTTTAGTACCCAATTACAAATTTTAAGCCGGCAGTTGGATAAAAAAGTTTTTATACAATTTCTAGGACTCTCCATCACTATTAACATATACGGTGGTCTTAGTTGCAAAATAAACAGCAGAAACGTAACATCGGAAGACTATATTCGACACATTTGCTAAAATTGTTTGTACTGGTGTAGGTATTTTTAAAATATGCAAAAATTGATAATGTCGTAAAATTAAACATTATTGCACCTCTTTCACTATTACTAAATAAATGTAAGCTATATCCACTAAATATAATAAAAAATAAAAATATGCTCAAATTCTTCCTTTAGCTTTTATATACCTGACTAAGACTAAAATTCTGCTTTTGTTCTAGGTCTACGTAGGAATCTGTTTTATCCATTTTCGGTGCCAAGCGGAAGTGCACCTCCACTGTGTTCCGGTTTTAAGAGCACGGAAATCCTTATAATTAGTCTATAGATCATTATAATATAATCGCAATCTACGAGAGTCAACGCATGTGAGTTATATTGTGGAAAAAATAAAAAGCCAGGGTAGAATTCGCCGTGTAGTGGCCCATATTTTTATATATAACTAGAAGCATACTGTCCACCTGATAGCAAGTGGATGCCGTGCCCTATAGATATCCACATCTATACTCAATGTTATAGCTGCAGCGTGGCTCTACCGTGTATAAAATATGTCATCCCGAAGATATTGTAATAAGCGGAAAAGGGAAATGAAACAGAAGATAAGGTCGCAGCATCTAACTAATAACTATTTAAAATAATAAAAACGACCCCCTATTAGGCAAACTTTTTTTTTATAGCATAGAGTGACAACCGAGCACACAGTCCACCTGATGGTAAGTGGTTGCTGTGACCCATAGACATATACATCTATCCTCAATAAAGAATCAAAATGCAGATGCGTTGTCATGCATGAGGACTAAGATAGAATGCCTCTTTTCCAGTAAAAAAGATATCCGGTTCTCTATACTCACCATACAACGTACAGCAATGTGAAGCTGCTATTTTACGGTGGTATTCTGTGAGAGCGTGGTCTTTCCCCGGTTGAGCCGATCCATTCGTGCTACAAATATACTACTAATATAGCTGCAGCATGGCTCTACCACGTTAAAACTTTTGATATGCTGCAATAAATCAATGCATTAGAGTAGAACTTTCAACCCACACTCGTTTAAGTGGTAAAACTTTCCATGAAAGCGGCGCGTTTTGTAATTTTTTGTGAGAAAGGAGCACACAGTCCACCTGATGGTAAGTGGATGCTGTAGCCCATAGACATCTACATTAATAATCACATGCGTTGTCAACCCTGACAAATAAGATGGAATGGCTCGTTTCCAATTAAAAGCGTCCCCGGTTCTCTACACTCACCATACAAAACTCAGCAGTATTAAGCAGTTTTACCCCGGTCAAGCCGACCCATTCTTGCTATAACATAGCTGCAGCGTGACTCTACCACGACAGTTTTTTTCGGCATGGATTCCCTCAAAGTCGTACATTTTTGTTGTTACATCGTGATAAGCAGAGTTGCTGTTGGTTATGTGTTATCATTCTATCCAATTCCTAAATCCAACTGACGGCGTTGTGGCGCAGTGGCTTGACCATGACTTACGGCGCTTAGGGCCATGGGTTTAATGCCGCACTGAACAAGTATTTGTGTGGCCTACAAGTAATTGTGCCAGGTCTGGATGTTTGTCCTTGTGCAAGATATATATATATATATATATATATATATATATATATATATATATATATATATATATATATATATGTTCTTCGCAATAAAAAAATATTGAAGGTCATTTATCGGGATAAAAAGTATCCTATCTCTCAAGTTGGACCAAACTGAACACAGTGTGCAAAATTTCATTGGAATCAGTTCAATAGTTAGGAGTTCATCGCGGACAAACAATGTGACACGTAATTTTTATATATAAAGATATATATGTTAACTGCTACAACGATACAGGAGAAAATCCTAGAAGATAAAAGTATAAAGAAGAATAAATCTCGTTACACTTTATGTGTATGACTAGTGTGTATTACGGTGTGATCGAATTACAATGAAGGTTAAAAATATTCCGCGCACCAGATGTCGCTAGTTGACACTGAGATGAAGTTTTTTGCTACACAAAGTCATTCAATTCAGAAGTTTGCATTCAATAAAAGTTAATCATTTTAATTCATCAAAACAATGCCTCAGTGGAATTTTTTGTACATTTTTAACTCTTTTTTCAATTTTTCTACTTTGTTGAATATCTGTGGCTTGGTTTATTTATTATTAATCTAATTAACATAAAATATTACTAATAGTACAGAAATAAACATCAATCTTCTCATTTTTCGAAAATATTAACTTCCCCGCTATGAAATCAAATATTACACCTCAATTTAAATGGCGCCGCCCTGGTAGCAGAAAAAGTCGTAGATGCCCTTATTGCGTCACTCTGAATGTTTAGTGCATTACCCTGTATTACCACTGTTAATGGTTACTTGCATATACAAGAGAGATAGTTGCACATATTCTCTCACATTATATTTTTATAAATATAACCAGTTAATATATTTCTTACATTTGTAGCCACTTACCATATGTGACTAATGGCTCCTTTATTTATTTTTTATAGAATAAAGGTGACAAACGAGGAGATACTGTGGCCCATAGACATCTACATCAATCCTCGATGAAGAATGATAATGCAGATGCGTTGTCATCCAGAACTAAAATGGAATGTTTCCAGTAAAAAGGGTATCTGGTTCTCTACACTCACCATATGAAACACAGCAACATTAAGCTGTTATCCTGGCCGAGCCGACCCATTCGTGCTATAGCTATGATATATAGTTGCAGAACCAAATCCAATTACAAATGTTATTTAATTTCATACATCCTATGAAGGCCTAATCGCCCGTTTCTTCGACTCTTATGAGGCTTTCATTCGTAATCTCTAAAGTTATGTTAATTACATGACGAAATGCTATTAAATTATTAACTCATTCAAACCGGACAGTCGGAGTCTCGTAAAATATTTTATTATCCCGTTCAATATATTACATTAACTTGATCTAAGCGACTGTAATCAGTCTGTTACAATACCTAATATTTTATTTTTATTGCCTACCATAGGTAATGATTTTAAAATGGTTGTGGTCAAATCGCTTCCATTGTGCCTCTGATACGACGAAATATACGTAAAACATGATTGACGGCTAATGTAATTCATAAATTATGTGAATAAATGCTATGAATAAATTATTTTTGTTGAAATTACATCCAGACAAAGTTTATTGAAAAGTAGGTATTTTTAATTTTCCTTATTATTACAAATGTCAAATTCTTTTTAAATAATTAAACCCTTTTTACTGGAAACGATGCGTTCCCTCTTAGTCCTCAAGGGTGACAAAGCATCTGCATTTTAATTCTTTATTGAAGAGATCTAGATGTCTATGGGTCACAGCATCCACTTACCATCAGATGGGATGTGTGCTTGTTTGTCACCCATACCAGCTTTTAAATAAAAAAAATCATCGAAATTTGTTCACCCAGTAAAAAGTTATGAGGTAACACACATAAAAAAACATAAAGTCGAATTGAGTACCATCTCCTTTTTGAAGTCGGTAGAAAAATAATCGCACAATTAAATTTAAAGCCCATATTTTAGAACTTAATATGTGTAGTATTATTAAATATTACTCCAAATATTTTTATGTACAATTTATTTCATAAGTAGTTACATTTAGGCATATTTTTAAAAAAAAAAATCTTTTGTAAACAGTTTTTATTAAAGCGCCATCTATACTAAACATAAAAAACTATCAGGATCTGAATTCTGAAGCATGTTTCAGTACAATTAACAAGACGAAAAGAGGCAAAAGGCAATATTACAAATTGCAGTACGGTGACAGTAACAGTAGAAAGCACGTAACACTATTCTCTACCGAGATTTACAACTCATGACGACACATATAGGAGCGTTCACGTAGTTTTTTATGTACCGTAAAACCTTACAAGTTTGCCCAACTTTAATCTATGGAACAAATTTGAATACGTCTCCGGCAACACTACGTAACTGTTTTTTTCTAACGTCATTTCACTCGGCTGTTAAACTGTGTCGAAGTTGGTGGTATATTTTGCGGGCCAAAAGTCGTGCAAAAAACTTTCTTCAAAACTCGATTTGTAATTACAGCAGGTAAGTAAGTTTTTTTTTCACTGTTATTTTGTAATAAACACACAAGAAATATCAAATATCCAACGCGAAATCTCTCTTAAAGTTGAAAATATCACGGTGGGCAATGTCAAATTGGTTATTCTAAAGCAGTTATTACGACTTTGCCCACCAAAATATTACCGTTAGGGTTGTCACCTCAATGTTGACAGAATGAGAGGATATACAAAGCATTACAATAATTAATACATATGATAAAAAAGTAAACGTTGTTGTAAAAAGTATTGAATGTACTTATTTGCAAAATAATTAGGTTGACTAAGTTTAAGATTTTTCTTTGTATGTAAATTTTCGTTTAAATGTCGCTAAATGGTCAGAGAAACATCTTAAATAAGTATCATTATGCTATCTCTTAAAGGTACTAAGCAGTGTACCAAGTCTCTCATTATGTTAACTGTATTTATTTTTGATGCTATTAAACCAAAAAAATTGTTTTTTTTTTCTCATACATATACAGTGGTTTTTTAGGAGTGCAATAACCTTATTTTGGTTAAGCGTATTTGTTAATTATACTGAGGTCTCTTTTTCAGGATGAATAATACTAAGCCTAAAAACACAAGAAAAAGAAATAGAAAATTAGGATCGAGAGCATATAGAAATTATTCAGAGAAAATATTAGAATTAGCAGTTGACATGGTAGAAAATAGCAGGATGTCAAGTCGGGAGGCAGAAAAGAGGTTCGGAATCCCTCGACGGACGATATTGAACAAAGTTAAAAAAAATCACTTGAAACCAGCTGGAGGACAAAAGAAACTCACTGAAGAAGAGGAAGAAAAACTGGCAAATGTGTTGTTAGCTTCAGCAGATTACGGCAGTCCCATGTCGAAAATGGATATAAAAATGTTGGCAATTTACCCAGTGATACTTGGGTGGAAGGATTTTTAAACAGACATCGTTCGATATTGACCATTAGAACAACCCAAAATATAAAAAAGTACGAGCCGAGAAAGGATTGGAAGAAATGGAGCAATTTTATACCAATTTACGTGAAACGCTAAATGGTGTACCACCAATGAATATACTGAACTACGACGAGACTAACTTGTCCGACAATCCAGGTACTTCAAAATGTGTATTCCGAAGGGGCGTCAAACATCCTGAAAGGATTCTAAATAACACAAAAAGTTGCATTTCTATTATGTTTACTGCAAGTGCAGCTGGGACATGTCTACCAATATATGTGGTTTATAAAGCTTCAAATTTATATTCAGAGTGGCTAGAAGGAGGACCAGCTGGAACCAGATATAACTGTTCGAAATCAGGTTGGTTTGATACGTCTTCATTTGAAGATTATTTCAAAACTATAGTGGCTGACTGGGCAAGACAAATTACCGGGCCAAAAGTAGTCATTGGTGATAATTCGTCTTCCCACATAAATATTGAAGTTGTGGAATTGTGTCAAAAACACAATATAAGGTTGGTATTTTTACCACCAAACTCCACAAACCTAACACAACCGCTGGATGTAGCATACTTTGGCTCACTAAAAAGAGAGTGGAAAAAGATCTTGTTGGATTACAAATGGAAGAATCCTGGACAAACTACCTTGAACAAAAAACACTTTCCAAAACTTTTGGCTCAATTACTAGAAAATATGAAACATAAAGAAAGCCATAACATAATAAATGGCTTCAGAGCCACAGGAATATGGCCTGTAAATCCACGAAATGTTTTTAAGAGAATCCCAGAGTATTTGGAGGATTCAGAATATGGATTTGATACGACTTTATTGGATTATCTCAAGGAATCAAGGGCTGCTAAGCCACTGCAAGTAAAAAGAAATAAGAAATTACGCACAGAACCCGGAAAGTCGGTATGTGCTGATGATATTTCGAAAGTAAATATTCTACTAACAGTACGAAAAAAATCATCTGTAAGAAAAAATAAGGAAGATACAATAAAGATAAACCAAGAAAGAGAGACAGAAGATATTATGGCATCGTGGGATACAGAAAATGAGATATACTTAGATGAAATTATAGGTGAAGTGATATGAAGGGAGGAAACGATTAAATACGATATGCCGTCGACCTCAGAAATCATCGCTTGGGAAAAACCAGCACTACGACCCCAATTTTCACCGGTAGCCTATAATCCATCCACACTTGATGCACTTAGTATCAAAATTATCAACATTCATTTAAGTTCACCAGCGCATGATACTAACGCTCAGCTTTCCGATGTCTGTGTATTAAATAAAAAAATGATAAATGACAGCCAGAATAAGCCTTTTGTAGCTTATGCTGAAAATCATATTCCAGATTGTTTACGATCAGTAACGAATAGTTCATCTAAATCTAAAGTTATAATAACCTCAGATGTTAAAGTAACCCCTAAGCAAATGAAGAACATCAAGAAAAAAATAAAATTAGGTACTGAAGTCATCGGGAAATCAGCTTTACAGATGAAAATTCTTACGAAGAAAGTGGGCAATAAAAATGGTAATGTGGTCTTATATGAAAAAAATAAAAGAAAACGAGAAAATTTAGCTAATGGAAGAAAAACAAAGGTAGCGAAACGGAAGAAATTGAGATCATATTATTGTGAAACGAGTTCTGAATCAGATATTCTGAGCATTGCAAACACAGATGATTCGGAATATGAGACATTTGATGAATATGTTTCAACATGTTTACAAGAGATAGACAACAAGGAAAACTGTGAGCCAGAAAACTTCACTGCACCCTTTGGATTCAATGATATCACATATTTTACAAGCGATGTAGATTTACGAGAAGAGGACTGGGTAGTTGTAAAATTTGCGACAAAAAAGCACTTTGTCGGCCGTGTTTTATATATAAAAAATAGTACTCCTACGGTAAAATTTGCAAGAAAAGTGAAAAATGCAAAAGATGGCAAAGTGATTTTTACGTATCCGAATGTGGAGGACGTGAGTGAAGTGAATCGTGATGATGTGGAAATAGTATTACCTCCACCAAGTATTTCTAGACGAGGCCAAATATTGTTTGATGTTACCTTTAATTCTTCCTACAATATACAATAATAAAATATTTTAATTTATTTATATGGAATTGCCAACACGCAAAGCTCTTCTCGAAATCTTCCAGCAATAAGGTAATTTCACAAAGAATGTTCCTAGGTTGTTTAAGAATAATTTGCCTCAAGAAGTACCTCGATGATTATTGTTGATTTTTTACTAGTTTGTCTTATAACCGTTTAATTTTGTATTGTTTATGTTAACTGTTATTGCCATAAAAATATAATGTTGACTTTACTGTATGTAGATTTAGGTTAATATATAGGTCATTTAAAACATAGAACGCACTATAAATTGTGAAACACAGTCCAATCACAGGTATAGTGCAGGTCTTTGTTTTGTATCACTACTTTAGTGTCGCAAAGCTCTTCTCGAAATCTTCCTGCAATAAGGTAATTTCACAAAAAATATTCCTAGGTTGTTTAAGAATAATTAACCTCAAGAAGCACCCCGATGATTATTGTTGATTTTTACTACTTTGTTTTATTAGTCGTTTTATTTTTCGTTGTTGATATTAATTGCTACTGCCATAAAAATATAATGTTGACTTTACTATATATAGATTTAAGTTAATATATAAGTAATTGAAAACATAGATCTACACTATATTTGTGAAACAGTCCAATCACAGGTATAGTACAGGTCTCTGTTTTGTATCACTTCTGTAGTATAACTGCAAGCAGTTAGAAAAGTAAAATTAAGTTATATTTTATTTAATTTTGATAAGGCTAATAAATGTTTAATTCCTATTACTTAGACATGCTAAGAGGTACTGTTAATCTATAGTATTATATTGTTTGTTTTAGAAATATTTCTCTTCAATATAGATTTATATGAGTCAACTTTTATATTAAGAGATGATATTAAGCTTAATATTACCTATAGGTATTGTTTGTTTTAAAGCTAGTAAGCATTTGCTTTAAAATACTTCTAATTCTATGATTGTTTCAATAGTTTTAGATTAATGTTTAAGAGCAAGTTACGTGATCATAACTTATATGACTTATATAGGTTGATTATTTTACTAAAATGACCCCTAAATCTAACGTTTTTAAAGTATAAAATAACGAAGTTACGGAGGTTTCTGCAAAATGGGCAAACTTGTAAAATGTTCTATATATTTGGCCCGCCGTCCAAATTAAGGTTTTTAGCACATAAACATTAATTGTCTTGATATTATCATAAATGCAAAGAATAATACAATTATCAATGGTGTAGCGCAATTACAAATTGAAAATAATATTATTTTAAAAAATATTTAAAGTAGAATAAAAAATCGCAAGAAATTTGGGCAAAGTTGTACGGTTTTACGGTATCATATATCTTCTAGGCACAAAGAGTTTAATTTAACCTAATTTCATCATTTTACCTTGGCTTTTTTGTATATATTTGAAGAAAAAAAAACTTTTCTTAATAAGTAAAAGTATACAAGAACTAAAAAGTATATAAAAAGTTGGACTGGACTATGCGGGCATTGTAATAATAGAATTAGAATCAGTGAGGTGTACGTTATCAAAATTGTCATTTAAAGTATTGACTTTTTAGTGATTCACCGACAGGCAGGCAACATTAATCTCCATGGTCAAAGTGAAAAGGGCTATATTTTGTTACCGATACCATAATATACCGATAAATAGAAAATGTTATTCAATTAATGTTTTAAGAGCGCTTTTGAGAGTCTGTCGTAATTTGAGAAACCTTTTTAATAGTTTTCGATAGATTTGAGTGAATAGACTCAAATGGTTGTACTTTGTATCTTTTTCTTCTTCCTGTCCTTATCTCAAGTTATTTGGTGACGGTATAGCATGTCTTCCTCTTCCATAATGCTCTATTAGTCGTCATCTCTTCACTCCCTCCTTTCTTACGCATATCATCCCTAATACAGTTTATCCATCTTTTCTTAGGCCTCCCTCTACTTTTATACATCCACTTTCATAGTCACCATTCTACTTGTTACATAGTTTACTTCGCATAATATGCCTACACCTTGCTAGTATACCCCTTCTCAAATTTTAAGTGACTGGGGCCACTTTCAAAACGTATCTAATAATGCCTAAAATAATCGGAAAATTAAATTATCATTAATAAACATTTGTTTAAAAAAATCTTTACAATATTTTGATGTATCACACTGAGAAGTTTTTTCGAGATTGTGACAGCAGCTTCAGACAGTAGATAGTCGTAGATGATAGTATCTTAAGGCTCCTAAGCAGTAATGATTCCACCAAAACTGCAGACCGTTTATCTTCCCCAATTTTATCTTTTTACGTGACTGCCCCTGAAGGAGGCTTGTTATTCGAGAGTATGTATGTATGTATGCATGTATGTATGTCTAGCTCTTCGGCACGCTTTGTAGGCTAAACAGCTAGATGGATTCTAACTTGAGGTGTCGTTACATTCGTCTTAATTCTGGAGTGACGTAGGCTATATAGTTTACGTATTGCATCTGCAAATACACAAAAACTGAGGGGAAAGTTTTTTTTTTCAGTAAACTTTTTACCGCGGTCATGTTTGTTTAATTGGTACTGTTTTAACCATTAAACTTGTTTATATACATTTATCGTAGTCTAATGGTTAAGTTATGGACTGCGAAATCAAAAATCGTATGTTTGAATCCGCAAATCGACTGTTGTCTTTAACCACTCCTATCACAAGCATTTTTAGCTGATTTGGAGAGGTTGATGGCTTATTAATAAGACAAGTTAATAGTCTTTGTTGTCAAATTATCATCTTATTTATATATTTTTAAAATACTTAAAATATAAATTAACTAAAAATGAAATCTCTACCGAGTTTTAAGGTACTATTAAATGTAGCAAATTTATTTATATAACATAGTAGTTTATTATAGACTAGCTGTCCCTCGCGACTTCGTCCGTGTGGAATT